ACTAAACCAGGACTAAACCAGGTCTAAACCAGGACTAAACCAGGTCTAAACCAGGTCTAAACCAGGTCTAAATATCTGAGGAACATTCTAGAGAACAGCTCTGAGTTAAACATTGAAAACACGATGTCGACATCGTCATTGTCCACAGTTCTCGTCGAGTTTTAACTTTTCAAAGTGATGTTTTTGATCCTCGACATTCACGGACTTAAGAGTAAAACCATCAAATTCACGTCAAAACTATTAAACAAAAAACCCGCTTCAAAATAAGACGAGTTTTGTCACGACAAACAAACGCAACGCAAACGAGCGCCTCAAAAACAACGACAAAAACGACACTTTCTCTTGTTTCACGTCACATTTCAGACTCTGAAAACTCGAGACGCGACGACAAACAGCGACAGAAAAACAAAACCGCGAGACAAATGTGGAAAAGTCAAACGGAGCCTGGAAGAACCACAGACTGAACAAAAATATTGATTATATTTTATTTTGACGTATATTTTATTATGTTATATTTTATTTTATGTTATTATGTTATATTTTATTTTATGTTATTATGTAATATTTATTTTATTATGTTATATTTTATTTATAATTTATTTTTATTTTATTATGTTTATATTTTATTATGTTATATTTTATTTTTATTTTATTATATTATATTTTATTTTATTTTATTTCATCATATCGGGCCCTTGGGAAGAGCGGGAAAAAAAACGCACAGTCACAAACAGAACCGTTAACATCAGGTCTAAACCAGGACTAAACCAGGACTAAACAGGACTAAACCAGGTCTAAACCAGGACTAAACCAGGTCTAAACCAGGACTAAACCAGGTCTAAACCAGGACTAAACCAGGTCTAAACCAGGACTAAACCAGGACTAAACCAGGACTAAACCAGGACTAAAAAGTATGACATTTATCTTGATGTTCACTTAAAAGTTACAGAGGCTAAACTCAAACTTAAACGACGGTCGCCACGGTGATTCCCGCCTTTACACCCTGTTACCGGGCAGAACTGAACCAGGACTCGACCAGGTCTAAACCAGGTCTAAACCAGGTCTAAACCAGGACTAAACCAGGACTAAACCAGGACTAAACCAGGTCTAAACCAGGTCTAAACCAGGACTAAACCAGGACTAAATCAGGACTAAACCAGGTCAGACTGTGACGTGTGGAACATGAGTTTGTTTTGGTGGAAAGAGGAAGTGAGAGATTGAAACAGTTTTAAAAAAGAGTCCGAAATGAAGAAACCACAACATGTGACACTGTTAACAAGACCTGGTTTAGACCAGGTTTAGACCTGGTTTAGACCTGGGTTTAGACCGGGTTTAGACCTGGTTTAGACCTGGTTTAGACCTGGTTTAGACCTGGTTTAGACCTGGTTTAGACCTGGTTTAGACCTGGTTTAGACCGGGTTTAGACCTGGTTTAGTCCTGGTTTAGAGCCTGGTTTAGTCCTGGTTTAGACCTGGTTTAGTCCTGGTTTAGTCCTGGTTTAGACCTGGTTTAGTCCTGGTTTAGACCTGGTTTAGACCTGGTTTAGTCCTGGTTTAGACCTGGTTTAGACCTGGTTTAGACCCTGGTTTAGACCTGGTTTAGACCCGGTTTAGACCTGGTTTAGACCTGGTTTAGTCCTGGTTTAGACCGGGTTTAGTCCTGGTTTAGACCGGGTTTAGACCTGGTTTAGACCTGGTTTAGTCCTGGTTTAGAGCTGGTTTAGTCCTGGTTTAGACCTGGTTTAGTCCTGGTTTAGTCCTGGCTTAGTCCTGGTTTAGACCTGGTTTAGACCTGGTTTAGACCCGGTTTAGTCCTGGTTTAGTCCTGGTTTAGACCTGGTTTAGTCCTGGTTTAGACCTGGTTTAGACCCGGTTTAGTCCTGGTTTAGTCCTGGTTTAGACCTGGTTTTAGACCTGGTTTAGACCCGGTTTAGACCTGGTTTAGACCTGGTTTAGTTCTGGTTTAGACCTGGTTTAGTTCTGGTTTAGTCCTGGTTTAGACCTGGTTTAGTCCTGGTTTAGACCTGGTTTAGACCTGGTTTAGTCCTGGTTTAGACTGGTTTAGACTGGTTTAGTCCTGGTTTAGTCCTGGTTTAGTCCTGGTTTAGACCTGGTTTAGACCTGGTTTAGTCCTGGTTTAGTTTAATCTGTTTGGTTTGAATGATGTTGCTCCTTTGGGGACCATTACTTGATCGAAACCGAATCAATAAAAACCCTCAAAGACCAAAGACCAGGACCAGGACCAGGACCAGAGCAGAGTCCAGAGTCCAGAGTCCAGAGTCCAGAGTCCAGAGTCCAGAGTCCAGAGTCCGGTCTGAGCTCAGGTCTTTGTCTTTCAGGTGCATGATTCCACCTTTAGGAATGTGACAATACCGCCTTAAAACTGCTCCACCCAGATGCCCTCCCAGACTCACACAAACACTGACAGGCCTGTTTAGACCTGGTTTAGTTCTGGTTTAGTCCTGGTTTAGTTCTGGTTTAGACCTGGTTTAGTCCTGGTTTAGACCTGGTTTAGACCTGGTTTAGTCCTGGTTTAGTCCTGGTTTAGACCTGGTTTAGTCCTGGTTTAGACCTGGTTTGGTTCTGGTTTAGTCCTGGTTTAGTCCTGGTTTAGTTCGGGTTTAGACCTAATTTAGTCCTGGTTTAGTCCTGGTTTAGTTCTGGTTTAGTCCTAGTTTAGTTCTGGTTTAGACCTGGTTTAGTCCTGGTTTAGTCCTGGTTTAGACCTGGTTTAGTCCTGGTTTAGTCCTGGTTTAGACCTGGTTTAGACCTGGTTTAGTCCTGGTTTAGTCCTGGTTTAGTCCTGGTTTAGTCCTGGTTTAGACCTGGTTCAGTTCTGGTTTAGTCCTGGTTTAATCCTGGTTCAGTTCTGGTTTAGTCCTGGTTTAGTCCTGGTTCAGTCCTGGTTTAGACCTGGTTCAGTCCTGGTTTAGTCCTGGTTCAGTCCTGGTTCAGTCCTGGTTTAGTCCTGGTTTAGTCCTGGTTCAGTCCTGGTTTAGTCCTGGTTTAGTCCTGGTTTAGTCCTGGTTTAGTCCTGGTTTAGTCCTGGTTTAGTCCTGGTTCAGTCCTGGTTTAGACCTGGTTCAGTCCTGGTTTAGTCCTGGTTCAGTTCTTCCCTGGTGGTTCAGTGGATTTTCCTCCCTCTTCCTGTCCCCTCCCTCTCTTCTTCCTCTCCTCTCCTCCTTCTTCTCCTCCTCTCCTCCTCTTCTCCTCTCTCCTCTCTCCTCTCCTCTTCCTCTCTCTCTCCTCTCCTCCTCCTCTCTCTCCTCCTCCTCCTCCTCCTCTCTCCTCCTCTCTCCTCCTCTCCTCCTCCTCTCTTCTCTCCTCCTCTCTCTCCTCCTCCTCCTCCTCTTCTCCTCCTCCTCCTCTCCTCCTCTCTCTCTCCTCCTCCTCCTCCTCCTCCTCTCTCCTCTCCTCCTCTCCTCTCTCTCTCTCCTCCCTCTCCTCCTCCTCCTCTCTCCTCCTCCTCCTCTCCTCCTCCTCTCTCCTCCTCCTCTCTCCTCCTCCTCCTCCTCCTCCTCTCTCCTCTCTCCTCCTCTCCTCCTCCTCCTCTTCTCCTCTTTCTCCTCCTCCTCCTCCTCCTCCTCCTCCTCCTCCTCCTCCTCCTCCTCTCCTCCTCTCTCCTCTCCTCCTCCTCCTCTCCTCTCTCTCCTCTCCTCCTCCTCTCTCTCCTCCTCTCTCCTCCTCTTTCTTTCTCTCTGTCGTGTTGTCGTCATAAACTTGCTCAGATAAATATAATCCTTCATTAATTATTCAAGCAGCTCATCCTCTTTTCATCAAATCCTCCTCAGGGTCTGAACCGGGTCTGAACCGGGCCTGAACCGGGCCTGAACCGGGCCTGAACCGGGTCTGAACCGGGCCTAAACCGGGCCTGAACCGGGCCTGAACCGGGTCTGAACCGGGTCTGAACCGGGCCTGAACCGGGTCTGAACCGGGTCCGAAACCGGGTTCTGGTCTTGGTCCGGTGTCACAGATCTGCTCTGAGCCTCAGTGATCCCGGTTCATCCGCGGACACCGGCACGTCCAGAACTCTACAGGCCCCGGGACCCAGACCGGGACCAGGACCCAGACCGGGACCCAGACCGGGACCAGGACCAGGACTGGGACCGGGACCAGGACTGGGACCGGGACCAGGACTGGGACCGGGAGCAGGACCGGGATCAGGACCGGGATCAGGACCGGGGCTCTGTGTGAGGGGAGGGAGCAGTTTGTGTTTTGCACTTTTCACCTGAGCCAAACTCATTTGCATTTGTTTATTTATTTAGTGAAAAAATAAAAATTAAAAATGGATTTGACCGATTTTTGTTTTCCACCGTAAACGTAAAAGATCGAGGTTCAGTCGAGGTTCAGTCCTGGTCTAGTCCTGGTCTAGTCCTGGTCTGGTCCTGGTCCGGTTCTCTCTCTGGTGCAGTCCGTTGTAAATTGATGAAGCTCTTGCAGAAACCCTCAGTATGACGTCACCGGGTCTGGAAATCACCGCCTCGCGCCTCCGCCGCTCCTCCGCCGCGCCTCCGCCGCTCCTCCGCCGCTCCTCCGCCGCTCCTTTATCGCGTCTCGGCGCCGCGTCCGTTTTTTTTACGAGCTTTCGGTTCCGCCGCGTTCCGACATTAGTTTTATGAGGAAGATTCGGTGTCACGCGCTGAACTGTTGCTCATCCTCCTCCTCTTCCTCTCCTCCTCTTCCTCTCCTCCTCTTCCTCTCTTCCTCTTCCTCCTCTTCCTCTTCTTCCTCTCCTCCTCTTCCTCTCCTCCTCTCCCTCTTCTCTCTCTCTCCGCGGCGCAGGCGGGAGGAGGAGGAGGAGGTGCGGATGCGGTTCGTTTGCCCTCGTTTGGAGGTCATGCACGCGCCGCGGCTCGTGCACGCGCAGAGGAGATGCGGGATCCCCCCCCTACACACACACACACACACACACACACACACACACACACACACACACACACACACACACACACACACACACCACCCTCCCTCCCCCTCCGTCCCATAACACGCGGGACACACCCAGCCCACAGGCGCAGGGGTGACGCCATGACGCAGCCCATTCACACCAGATTCCCCCGGACAAACGGCGCATTCACGGCCCGATCTGTCACCCGTCCGCCCGCGCGCGTCCCGTCCACGTGAAAATTCCACAGTGTAGCCGACACGCGCGCGCCGTGCGGATCGGCTGAGCTCACACAAATGACAATGCAACAGGGGCGGAGGAGGAGGAGGAGGAGGAGGCACCCGCGGAGCCCGTTCAGCGAGTAGCGCAAGCATTACTCAAACTGTCACCGCCGCCTCGCCGTAAACCCCAGACACGTCCAAATACCACCTGAAGAAACGGAAAAGCCCCGCATCGATTCGGCTCTGCCCCCGGGAGCAGATGTGACGGAACACGGCACGAGGACAAAGTTTAGAAACCCGGAGGTGTCAGTGTGATGAGCGCGAGCCTCAGTGCTGTGCACGGACACACGGTCTGTGATTTGTATTAGGAGCCCGGTGAGGTTCAATAAGTCACGTGTAAACAGCGCAGACACACACGGCGACACCAGCGCCGCCGGACTCAGGCGACACTCCGTTTACAAAACGCCGCAGTCCTAATTCACACCGACAGAGCTCGTTCATCCCGGCGCGGGCCCGTGTCAAACCTCCCCCTTAAATCAAAGCCCTGACACTGTTGCGTTCGGCTCCACGTCCCGCGGTGTCCCGCGCGCCGTGGCCGTGGGAGCTCGCTGTTCCACGGTGTAGAGGAAAGTTCATGTTCACACTAAACGAGCTTTAGAGCAGCTGGAACTTTACACACGGACTCAAGTGTCCCTCAAGTGTCCCTCAAGTGTCCCTCAAGTGTCCCGTGAACAGCACAGGCCCGAGGAAACCCCCCAGGACCCACACAGACCCACACAGACCCACACAGACCCACGCAGACTCACGCAGACCCACACAGACTCACGCAGACTCACGCAGACTCACGCAGCGGGGAAATCAATGTTTCTCAATGAGCCGAGGCCCGGGAGCCGGAGCCGGAGCCGACACCGGCACACGCACGCGCACACGCACAGATACTGGGTTCACACCTGTGGGTGCACACGCACGCGCCCGGGCGCTGTGCTCGTGCGCGTGAAGGTGAAGGAACAGCACCGAAAAACCCGGATGCTCCTTTAAAACGCGTAAAAAGCGCAGTGTAGGAGCGGGTTTACGTAAGGGCAAAGAGCCTGGTCCAGACCCGATCCAGACCTGATCCAGACCTGATCCGGACCCGGCTGAGTCCTGCTTTAGACCTGGTTCAGATCGGGTTTAGTTTTAGTTCAACTTGACTTCAGTTCATTGTTGGAGCAACAGTTTTCTCAGCGCGAGTCCCGCGTTTCCGCGAGCGGAGACTCGAGTCCTGCTCTAGTCCTGCTCTAGTCCTGCTCTAGTCCTGCTCTAGTCCTGCTCTAGTCCTGGTTTTGGCTCGAGTCTGTGTGTTCTGGCCGCGGGGCTCCGGGCTTCCCTCGTCCCCAACTCCCTCCCCTCAGTCCCGCTGCGGTTTAGTCCGGACTGAGTCCTGGTTTAGCCCCGACTTGGTCTTGCTCTGGTCCTGGCTGAGTCCTGTACCGTGTGTGCTCCGTGTCTCGTCCTGGTTTAGTCCTGGTTCAGTCTTGGGTTGGTCTTGGGTTGGTCTTGGGTTGGTCTTGGTTTGGTCTGTTTGTGGGGTCTCGTGCGGTGTCGGGGTCTCGTGCGGTGTTGGGGTGAGTGGCGGGAAGCAGCGGTGTGTGCGCGTGCGCGTGGGGTTACCTGCAGTGGACGAAGAATCACGCGCGCGGCTTCACAGCGGTTTGTCCATTTCCAGCGTCGGCACAACGAACGCCCAGCGGCGGCGCGGCGCGGCGGAGCGGAGACGCGGAAGAAGCGGACGGTCTCCTCTCCGCACGGCCCCACGCGGCTCCACGCGGCTCCACGAGGCTCCACGAGGCTCCACGCGGCTCCACGAGGCTCCCGCGGCGGCGTAGTCCTGTCCGGGCCGCGGCGTGTCCGTGGGTGATCGGTACAAACAGTCTGTGTGTCGGCGCGAGGCGTTGAGGCGCGCGCTGCTGCTGCTGCTGTTGCTTCTCGCCGCTGCGCGTGCACGTGGCGTGTGCGTGGGTCCGTGCACGCGCGTGTGGGTGGGACCCGCGCAGACTCGGCCCACGTCCGGGTCCGCGCGACTGCAGCGCGAGGCGGGACTCACGCGCTTAAGGTGGAGCCGAACTCAAAGAGCCGCAACTTTGGAACAAAGTTTAGACCCGGACCAGACCTGGACTAAACCTGGACTAAACCTGGACCCAGACCTGGACTAGACCGGGTCTGGATCCAGGCAGGGCATCCGAGGCAGTGCGCGTGGGCTTTAAGGTGGAACTGTGCTCCTCTGTTCCTCTGTGGACCTCAGGCTCCTCAGACGATTTAAGGTGGAGCCGCGAGATCAGGACAAGTCTGAGTCTGATTGAAAGAGAACTTTATTAGAACAAGAGTGAGGAGGAGTGAGGAGGAGTGAGGAGGTCTGAGGAGGAGTGAGGAGGAGGAGTGAGGAGGAGTGAGGAGGTCTGAGGAGGAGTGTGAGGAGGAGTGAGGAGGAGTGAGGAGGTCTGAGGAGGAGTGAGGAGGTCTGAGGAGGAGTGAGGAGGAGGAGTGAGGAGGTGTGAGGAGGAGTGAGGAGGAGTGAGGAGGTCTGAGGAGGTCTGAGGAGTGAGGAGGAGGAGGAGGAGGTCTGAGGAGGTGTGAGGAGGAGTGAGGAGGAGTGAGGAGGAGTGAGGAGGTGTGAGGAGGAGTGAGGAGGTGTGAGGAGGTGAGTGAGGAGGAGTGAGGAGGTGAGGAGGAGTGAGGAGGAGTGAGGAGGTGTGAGGAGGTGTGAGGAGGAGTGAGGAGGTGTGAGGAGGAGTGAGGAGGTCTGAGGAGGAGTGTGAGGAGGAGTGAGGAGGTCTGAGGAGGAGTGAGGAGGTGAGGAGGAGGAGAGGAGGAGGTGTGAGGAGGAGTGAGGAGGTGTGAGGAGGAGTGAGGAGGTGTGAGGAGGAGTGTGAGGAGAGGAGGTGAGGAGGAGTGAGGAGGAGTGAGGAGGAGGAGGATGAGGAGTGAGGAGGTGAGGAGGAGGAGTGAGGAGGAGGAGTGAGGGAGGAGGAGTGAGGAGGTGTGAGGAGGTGTGAGGAGGTCTGAGGAGGAGTGAGGAGGTGTGAGGAGGTCTGAGGAGGAGTGAGGAGGAGTGAGGAGGTGTGAGGAGGAGTGAGGAGGTCTGAGGAGGAGTGAGGAGGTCTGAGGAGGAGTGAGGAGTGAGGAGGTGTGAGGAGGAGTGAGGAGGTCTGAGGAGGAGTGAGGAGGAGTGAGGAGGTCTGAGGAGGAGGGAGGAGGAGTGAGGAGGAGTGAGGAGGTCTGGTTCTTCAGATCTGGGTCTGGAGGTGTGACACATTTGAATTTCTTTTGATGAAACGAGTTTTTGTCCAACATTTGGTGAGTCCCACGTTTGGTTCAAGAGCCAAAAACCAACCAGCCCACAGTCCAAGAACTGGACCAGGTCTGAACCAGGTCTGAACCAGGACTGGACCAGGACTGGACCAGGACTGGACCAGGACTGGACCAGGACTGGACCAGGACTGGACCAGGACTGGACCAGGACTGGACCAGGACTGAACCAGGACTGAACCAGGACTGAACCAGGTCTGAACCAGATCTGAACCAGGACTGAACCTCCTACATCCTACGTCCTACATCCTACCTCCTACTGCCTATGTCCTACGTCCTGTATCCTACATCCTACCTCCTATTCACCTAAACCTATAAATGTCCTACATGCTACCTCCTACATCCTATATCCTACCTCCTACCACCTATATAGGTTTTTCCTATCGCCTATCCCCTACCTCCTATGACCTACTTCCTATATCCTACCTCCTATCCCCTACCTCCTATATCTTACATCCTATGTCCTACCTCCTGTTTCCTATCTCATACCTTCTACTTCCTGCCTACGTCCTACCACCTGACTTGTATGTACTATTTCCTATGTCCTAGGTCCTATGTCCTACCTCTTATCTCCTACTTCCTATGTCCTACCTGCTACGTTCTATCTCCTGTCTCCTTTCTTCTCTCCCTCCTTCTCTCCTTCCTTCCTTCTTTCCTTCCTTCCTTCTCTCCTTCCTTCCTTCCTTCTCTCCTTCCTTTCTTCTCTCCTTCCTTCCTTCCTTCTCTCCTTCCTTCCTTCCTTCCTTCCTTCCTTCTTTCCTCTCTTCTTTCATGTTTCTTCACTTCTGACTCGTATCAAATTTATGAAGTTGTAAAAGTTTTTCATGAGAAGAGAAATCTCCCCTGTCTGCTCCTGTCTGCTCCTGTCTGCTCCTGTCTGCTCCTGTCTGCTCCTGCCTGTCTGCTCCTGCCTCTGCTGCCTGTCTGCTCTGTCTGCTCCTGCTCTGCTCCTGTCTGCTCCTTCTGCTCCTGTCTGCTCCTGTCTGCTCCTGTCTGCTCCTGCCTGCTCCTGTCTGCTCCTGTCTGCTCTTCTGCTCCTGTCTGCTCCCTGTCTGCTCCTGTCTGCTCCTGTCTGTCTGCTCTGTCTGCTCTGCTGCTGTCTGCTCCTGTCTGCTCTGTCTGCTCCTTCCTGCTCTGCTCCTGTCTGCTCCTGTCTGCTCCTGTCTGCTCCTGTCTGCTCCTTCCTGCTCCTGTCTGCTCTGCTGCTCCTGTCTGCTCTCTGTCTGCTCTGTCTGCTCCTGTCTGCTCCTGTCTGCTCTCCTGTCTCTGCTCCTTCTGCTCTCCTGTCTGCTCCTGTCTGCTCCTGTCTGCTCCTGTCTGCTCCTGTCTGCTCCTGCCTGCTCCTGTCTGCTCCTGTCTGCTCCTGTCTGCTCCTTCCTGCTCCTGTCTGCTCCTGTCTGCTCCTGTCTGCTCCTGTCTGCTCCTGTCTGCTCCTGTCTGCTCCTGTCTGCTCCTGTCTGCTCCTGTCTGCTCCTGTCTGCTCCTGTCTGCTCCTGTCCTGCTCCTGTCTGCTCCTGTCCTGCTCCTGTCTGCTCCTGTCTGCTCCTGTCTGCTCCTGTCTGTCTGTCCTGTCTCTGCTCCTTGTGTCTGCGTCTGCTCCTGTCTGCTCCTGTCTGCTCCTTCCTGCTCCTGTCTGCTCCTGTCTGCTCCTGTCTGCTCCTGTCTCTTTTCTGTTGACAGTTCAAACAAACACTATTTGTGTCACAACAAACCAGGACTAAAATAAAAGACCTGGTTTAGTCCTGGTTTAGTTCTGGTTTAGTCCTGGTTTAGTCCTGGTTTAGACCTGGTTTAGACCTGGTTTAGTCCTGGTTTAGTCCTGGTTTAGTCCTGCTTTAGTCCTGGTTTAGACCTGGTTTAGACCTGGTTTAGACCTGGTTTAGTCCTGGTTTAGTTCTGGTTTAGTCCTGGTTTAGACTGGTTTAGTCTGGTTTAGTCCTGGTTTAGTTCTGGTTTAGTCCTGGTTTAGTCCTGGTTTAGACCTGGTTTAGTCCTGGTTTAGTCCTGGTTTAGTTCTGGTTTAGTTCTGGTTTAGTTCTGGTTTAGACTGGTTTAGTCCTGGTTTAGTTTTAGTCCTGGTTTAGTCTGGTTTAGACCTGGTTTAGTCCTGGTTTAGTTTAGTCCTGGTTTAGTCCTGGTTTAGTCCTGGTTTAGTCCTGTTTAGTTTAGTCCTGGTTTTAGTCTTTAGTCCTGGTTTAGTTCTGGTTTAGACCTGGTTTAGTCCTGGTTAGTCTGGTTTAGACCTGGTTTAGTCCTGGTTTAGTCCTGGTTTAGTTCTGGTTTAGTCCTGGTTTAGTCCTGGTTTAGTCCTGGTTTAGTCCTGGTTTAGACCTGGTTTAGTCATGGTTTAGTCCTGGTTTAGTTCTGGTTTAGTCCTGGTTTAGTCCTGTTTAGTTCTGGTTACCTGGTTTAGTCCTGGTTTAGTCCTGGTTTAGTCCTGGTTTAGTCCTGGTTTAGACCTGGTTTAGTCCTGGTTTAGTCCTGGTTTAGTTCCTGGTTTAGTTCCTGGTTTAGTTCTGGTTTAGTCCTGGTTTAGACCTGGTTTAGTCCTGGTTTAGTCCTGGTTTAGTCCTGGTTTAGTCCTGGTTTAGTCCTGGTTTAGTCCTGGTTTAGACCTGGTTTAGTTCCTGGTTTAGTCCTGGTTTAGTCCTGGTTTAGTCCTGGTTTAGTCCTGGTTTAGACCTGGTTTAGTCCTGGTTTAGACCTGGTTTAGTCCTGGTTTAGTCCTGGTTTAGTTCCTGTTTAGACCTGGTTTAGTCCTGTTTAGTCCTGGTTTAGTCCTGGTTTAGTCCTGGTTTAGTCCTGGTTTAGTCCTGGTTTAGACCTGGTTTAGTCCTGGTTTAGTCCTGGTTTAGTCCTGGTTTAGTCCTGGTTTAGTTCCTGGTTTAGTCCTGGTTTAGTCCTGGTTTAGTCCTGGTTTCCTGGTTAGTCTGGTTTAGTCCTGGTTTAGTCCTGGTTTAGACCTGGTTTAGTCCTGGTTTAGTCCTGGTTTAGTCCTGGTTTAGACCTGGTTTAGTTCTGTTTAGTTCTGGTTTAGGTCCTGGTTTAGTCCTGGTTTAGTCCTGGTTTAGTTCTGGTTTAGTTCTGGTTTAGTCCTGGTTTAGTTCTGGTTTAGTCCTGGTTTAGTCCTGGTTTAGTAGTCCTGGTTTAGTCTGGTTTAGTCCTAGTTTAGTCCTGGTTTAGTCCTGGTTTAGACCTGGTTTAGACCTGGTTTAGTCCTGGTTTAGTTCTGGTTTAGTTCTGGTTTAGACCTGGTTTAGACCTGGTTTAGTCCTGGTTTAGTTCTGGTTTAGTCCTGGTTTAGTTCTGGTTTAGACCTGGTTTAGACCTGGTTTAGTCCTGGTTTAGTTCTGGTTTAGACCTGGTTTAGACCTGGTTTAGTCCTGGTTTAGTTCTGGTTTAGTTCTGGTTTAGTCCTGGTTTAGTTCCTGGTTTAGTCCTGGTTTAGTTCTGGTTTAGTTCTGGTTTAGTCCTGGTTTAGTCCTGGTTTAGTCTGTTTAGTTCTGGTTCAGTTCTGGTTTAGACCTGGTTTAGTCCTGTTTAGTCCTGGTTTAGTCCTGGTTTAGACCTGGTTTAGTTCTGGTTTAGTTCTGCCTGGTTTAGGCCTGGTTTATCTGGTTTAGTCCTGGTTTAGT